CCTTATTTGTCCGAAATGACCCTGGGTCACTAAGGAACTGACACGTGTTCCAACGATCAGATTTCAAACTCACACGGCAACTTTACTTGGGCTGCAAGCAAAGCTGACTTGTCCGACTCTGGACAAGATTCGCTCTCATAGTCTTCACTCGAAGACATAGGTTTTGGTTAGGCATCACTTCAGTCATTATGACTGGTTCTCTTGGACCCCACTTAACAGTACGGCGGTTCCTATGACTCAACACAAAAGAAGGAGAACTACGAAAGATCTAAGTCTTCGAGCTCCATAGGCTTCATGTGGTGTCTTCTCTTGTCATAGTCTTCAATGTGAATATCTTCATATACCACCTTTGACTTCAATGTCTTCATACATTTTTAGGGGTCATCCCTGGTAGGAAAACCGAATCAATGAGGAACTTCTACCTGTGTTATCCTGCAATTCTCACAAACACATTAGTCCCTCAACTAGGTTTGTCGTCAATACTCCAAAACCAACTAGGGGTGGCACTAGATGCACTTACAAGATCATATGATTAGACGGTGGTGATGTCTCGGCGTCGTTTCCCCTCTCGGGCGCTTCATCTTTGGAGCTGAGCATCAGCAAGTGAGATCAGTGGATGGCGACAGTGTTGGCGTCGAGGCTTCTGTGACAACGATGACGGGGCAAGCGATATCGGAGGTGTGACACTGGTTGAGGTAATCATCTCTTCTTTGACGTATTTACGAGATTACCTCGGGGTATTCTGTTGCGGTGAAGTCGAAGTCGTGGCAGCAGGGCCCAGTGGCAACGATGACAGATAGTAGATGGTTCGTTTGGTGGTCTTCAGCGGTACTAGCCTTGCATAGTTTCTTCTTCTGAGCTCTCCTTCAGAGTTGGAACTGCGCTTCCCTCGACACGGGTGGCTGAGTTTCTGGCACAGGTCTTCTCATGTTTCTGCAGTGCCTCTATGATGAGGATTGGATCGACAGTCATCTTCGGCGAAGTCGGAGTCGCTTGCTCGGAGTTTAGGGAGGACTATAACGTGTGTTGCTTGTTAGGGAGAAGTGATGACAATGACATCGGCGTGTAGTCTTGACATGACTCTCTATGTTGAGTTGTGTGTGGGGGAATGCTGCTCAACGATTTGCAGTGGTTTTCGTTCGATTTTTTGTTAATTAGTTAGCAATTCTCTTTATTGTTTAATTAGTGGATGAGCAAATCATTCACCTCTGTTTCATAAATAATAATAAAACTATAAATAAATAATGGCTGTAAGTAACATCGTCCTAAAAAAACCTCTCTTGGCTTTTTTTTAGGCAAAAAAAAACCTCTCTTGGCTGGGAGAGAGCACGACGTTTCACCGTGGAAGCTCATCACCGGGGTTCGAGTCCGATACAAGCCCTCTCTACCGTGCCGTACGGCCACACAAAAAAAAAGAGTAAAATCCGAACCCACCTCTAGTCGGAATAATCTCACATTACGCGCACGTAACAATCCAGATTTAATTACCCTTAATCCTTCTCGGCTCCGCACTCGCCCTGAGAGCAGTGCTTATATACAGCTTAACACCCTACCTACGGACGTTCCATCATCATATTACGCAGAGTCGCGCTGACGGAACACGACCAGGCTTTGGTTCTTGGGCACGCGACGCAAGACGAACGCCTTGATCGAGATCCCGCGACGTCGCAACCGAGCACTAGGCATGGCGGCGGCCGGCGGCAGCGAGATGCAGGACCTTGGGGGGCGCCAGGGTGAGCAGGCAAGCGCGAGCAGCACCACAGCCGAGGTCAAAGACTCCCCGTGCACCGGCGAGACGGGCGCGAGCTCTGGCGCCGGCCACAGCGTAGCGCATCTTATCGGGGCGCTAAGGAGGAGCCAGGAGGAGCTGGCGACGATGGGCAAGGCCGACGTGCTCGCGTACGAGGATCGCCTGCGGGCTCTCAGGCTTCGCGTGCTCCAGCGGATCCAGGAGGAGGAGGCGAAGGCGGCCGCGGCGGAACAGCCCACGACGGAGCCACGCCGTGTTGCTTGATTTGTTCTACGTAGTAACCAGTATAAGTACAGATAGATAGGTTTAAACTTCATTCACATAAAAAAAGAGATAGGTTTAAACTTCGTCCATGGTACGCGAGATGTATATGTATGTGTGTGTTGATTCTTTACCCTCTCTACTTTCAGCATATGATCCGCATACTCATGCGTATTCTAACAAAAATCTTATATGTGTGAACGTAGGGAGTACTCAGTACTACAGTAGAAACACTAGAATGAATCACATCTTGCTGCTGGAAAAAAGAAAGTACACATAGAATTCTTCTGTCTGTGTTAGCATTTTGCATTATTATTGTACACGCTAACATTGTTTTGTTGTTTGCAATGATAGTCGCATTGATGGAAGTGAAAGCTTGATCATGCTTTAACTTTCATATGAATAGAATGTTTGAAGCTTTCTATGTTTTGGGAGTGGAACTACATGGGTATGTTTTGAAACGTTTTCTATGAAAAATTACGGACGCACAACAGATGAGATAACTTAGGTACAACCAACCTGATAACTTTAAACCGAGGAAAAAAGGTTGTTTAAAATGTAACTCCGGTAACTTTTGTTTAAATATCATGGTAGTATGCACAAAACAGCTCTGATAACTTATAACTTAGGTACAAACACCACAGTAACTTTCTACTGGGGAAAAATGCTGTTGTGCATAAGTTATCAGGTTCGTGGCGTATAAATTATCATGCTCTTTACAGAGAAGTTATCGGGATTCTTACAACAACTTTTTCCCCTAGGCCGAAATTTGCCGTGGTGTTTGTGATTGAGTTACCAGGTTTGTGGCGTATATATTACCATGCTCTTTATAGAAAAGTTATTGGGGTTTTTTCATCTGGTCAAAAAAGTTACCACAGCGTTTGTGCGTGAATTATCATATTCATGGCATATAAATTACCATGCTCTTTTTACAGACAAGTTATCTGGATGTGTTACAACAACGTTTTTTTTCTTCGGATCAAGAGTTACCACAGTGTTTGTGAGTGAGTTATTAGATTCGTGACGTATAACTACCATGCTCTTTTATAGATAAGTTATCAAGGTGTATTACAACAACTTCTTACCTAGGGTCAAAAAGTTACCATGGTGTGTGAGTTATTAGGTCTGTGATGCACGAATTACCGTGTACAAAAGGGAAGCAAAAATGGTGAAAAATATGAAAGAAAAAAAGGCTTGTTTCTCTGGTCGCGTATGTAGCGGTACAAATATTTATCGACCTTCTTTGTAATAACAACTTGAAACCAGACCAGGTGGATACGACAAGCGATGATGGACCAAGAGGTATTGAGTTTGACTCCCACCTCCTACAATCTTTTTACCATGTTTTTTTAGCACGCCAGAAAATTAAAAAGGAAGCGAGAGAAGTGGTGGGATCGAGCAGAGAAGGATGCGCGCCAGAAGAATCGGAGATCGCGGAAGGGACGAGAGAAGTGGACCACGGGAGGATCGTTCGGATCTGTCCCTAAAAGCAGATCGTTCGGACGTTAGTTGCGTCCATTTTAGAAACCCATAAGAACTTGATGAGTGTACATTGTCAAGTTTTCAGAAGTTGGTCTTGATTTTGTGGAAGTCACCCCTGGAAATAGTTGGAGGGCTCACTTGAAATTTATGAACCCTTCACTAATTTTTTCCAGAGCTTTTTTTTTTTTTTGATCCACACGGCTCAGCTTCTGGACTTTTAATCGGCTTCGTACTGGGAATCGGATCGGGAGTGCTGTGAATAACATGACCCGCAGCCAACCCGGAGATCCCCCAAACATAACCCTACCCGGCAGCCAGCGCAACACGGTGGAGAGCAAGAGGCGATCCAAGCCGAGGAAGTTGCAGCCACCGCCGCATCGATCGGCCTCCAGTCCTCAATTGGAGGGACCGCGTCAACCGGGGGATGGCGACGCTCCGATCCGCCCTCCGGCACCTTGCACCGGCCGCTCGCTTCCTCAGCAAGGGCGGCAGCTCTGGGCCTAGCTTCACCGCCGTCAGGGTAATTTTCTTTTACTGTGTTAAATACTCTCAATTCTGCCCATCCGATCCCTTGTGATTTGCAGCGGAAGCATTCCACCGGCGGCGGCGTATTCTATAGTACGATACTGTGGGACGAACCCTTCGATTTGTACGTGCCCTATCATATTCTTTTCCATCAAATGTGTGTCTACCTAGATTCGTCAGGTAACAGAGATTTGCTTTATGTTTTCTGACGGTGGTTTGTCTGCAGGAGAACGCCGGTGACCTGGTTTGCAATCATCGCCACCGCCATAGGAGCTACTTACAGGATAAAAGTGCAGACGACTGATCATGAAAAGCAGAAGGCATGTGGACACGAGGAGGGGAAGAAAAGTGTTAGCATCTGAATTATCTGTGCTGTCTCCCTTTTAACTGAGAAGCATCAGTATCTTGGATAAACAGGCATAAAGTTCAGTTGTATGCCAAACCGTGCTATGTTGGATGGAACCTGCATGTCCTGTGTGCGTATTTTGTACAATGAAAACCAATTTAGTTATTATGCATAAATTACAAGTAATTAACCTGTTATGACCCGATCCACCTGTGATTTCGTATCTGGGGATTCCAATTCCAATGACAAGAGGAAGAATTGAAGAACTAGAACTTGGGAGTTGGGGTAGGAGAAGCATCGGAGAGAAACACAGTACTCCCTCCGATCCATATTACTTTTCACTCAAACGGATTTATCTAGAGGGAGTAGCTTTGGAGAATTGGAGCACTAAACAAATCCCATATTTTCTGCGAGTTTGCTTGTATTCGTATGAACATTGTTCATCAACAATAAAGCTGCCGGCGATCCTCAGAGGAAAAAGGAACGATAACAAAGGTGATCACATCTTTTTCCCCCTTCTGAGCGGCACAGGGAGGAGTCATTGGTGAGATGAGAGAGAGCAAGATGGCGAATTATACGGGTCTACATGTTGTCTACGTAGTAGGTACATCCGAGTAGCCGTATCTTTTCCCCTCTTCACTTCCACTTGCGCCCGTACATCTTCTTGTGCTTGCCAAACTTGCCGTGCTTGAACTTGCCATGCTTGAACTTGCCGTGGTGGTTACCGTGGCCGTACATCCCGTGGGCGCCGCCGTGCGACACCTTGTGAGCTCCATATACTGCGCCTGCCGCCACCGCGCCGCCGGCAATCATGCCGCCTGCTACGCCATGGCCGCCTCCCCCGTACATAGGAGCGTGACCTGAACAAAATGGCTTGCAAGTTGACTCGACCGATCGAGTTCATAACATGGTCATGCCTCCATATGAACCATGAAGTGCCATCTTTTCACACCTGATTGCATTCTACTAGTACTTAACACTTTTGGACATGAACATGCATACTTGACGGTTCCCGTATCTATTTGTTGCAAGTAGTTTTTTTGAAAGCACTATCAAATAAACATATGTTTTAGCGACAATTGTAATAATAATATTTATATTGTATAAATCTGAATATTTATTTTTTTGAGAGAAAAATGTGAATACATATGTATTACTCCCTCTGTAACTTAATATAAGACATTCTTTGACACTATCAGTTATAGAGGGAGTATATATTAGTGGTAAAAAGCAATAAATAGAATAAATACCATTTTGAAACACACACACACACATGAACAAATGAAGTGTGTGTAAAGGGACATACCATAAGGAGGAACCTGCATTGGTGGCCCTTGAGCGGGATAACCAGCTGGAGGGTGGGCCGTAGGATATTGTGGATACCCAGCGGTGGCGGGGTACCCATTCGGGGGATACGCAACGTTCGGCGGTTGATAACCCCCGGGCTGAGGGTACGCGCCGGGAGGTGGCGCATACTGCCCAGGTGGAGCAGCATATCCGGGCGCCGGCGGATACGAGCTTACCGGAACAGGGTAACCGGGATATCCCGCCGGAGCAGGGTAGCCACCAGGGTACCCGCTGTACCCACCCGCACCTTTGTCCTTTCCACCGTCCATGCCTCTCCCTCTAGCTTGTTCACCTACTGGTAAAAGGAGGAATGGGAGTACAACAAACAGGGAGGAGGCTGATTCCAGATGGCTAGCAGCTTCTTCTCCTCGTGCAATGGACGGGTATATATACCGTGCTTGCGAGCAACTGCAAGCGGGTTATTCAAGGGAACTGTCTATCTTTAGAGCTTCTATTTCTTGATTTGAAGGTGCACGACAACTCAGAGGGCTCTTGTGGCCGCAGCATTCTTGGCGAGGACAGCCTGCAGCGAGCTCTATTTGTTGGCACCCTATAGATCGGTCATTCGGTTGCTGACATGTGAAAGCTGTGACGATAGAAATATTTTTTCCGTGGGATTAGATAGGGTGAAAGTGACATATCAATGCCGTAGATGCTGCACAAATAACCTTCGGTTCGTCGGTGGCCATTTCACCTGCGCCATTTTCACTCGAATGTAAAGTAAACTGCCATTCTCAATCATATCTCCGTGGTAGTCTAGGTCGTTAGGATACTTGGCTCTCACCCGAGAGACCCGGGTTCAAGTCCTGGCGACGGAATTTTTTTTCCCGCTTTTCATTAGATTTTAATACTCAACAGTTCATCCCAGAAAGTATGGCATTTTGTCTAAAGTATTCTTCCTGCTTATCTTTATAAACAGTTTCAGTTTTCTGTTAATACATTCCTGACTACTTGCAAGCATGACGAAGACTTCTATCTAATGTCTTAGGAGATTAAATATTATGTATTCTGTGTTCTTTAGGGAATCTTCGGGACAGTCTGAGACACACAAGGGAACGTTCAGTCGACCTGAAACAAGCTGATCAACTGTACATGTTTCTTTTACTATCCCAACATAACCCTGAACCTTTTGAAAAAAGAAAAGAAGACTGCTACGCTAGCATGCTGTGATTTTCAATAATTTTTTGGCATTGGACATGTAATAGAAATTACAATGGACTTGTGTCTCGAGCGAAAAAAGCTCCCCTGGTCTGGGTGAACTGTGGAAAATATCAGACAGCCATGCTACCATGGCGTCAGTTGCATATGCAGCACACCCCATCTGCTGAATTCGCCAACACTAGTATCTTGATGTGCTTTGCTTCGAGTGGGAGCTCAGGTATGACAATCCCATATTCTCAATATGCAGTGTGGTAACGTGGGTGAGCGACATTTGTTCCAAGGTACCAGAGAGCCGATGAATGACACCGCATGAAGCAGCGGCCAAGGATGACCCCCGTGTCGTCCTCAGGGCGGCTTGGGGGAACCCTAGGTACGCCGCCCCCGCTCCCCTCTACAGCACGTCCCCCCTCCCGCCGCCGCCGGATGAGTCCGCCGGGCAAAGCCCGCGCCGGAGGACGGTGGCGGCGGGGATCTCCGAGTGCTCGGCGGCCTAGGTTGCCGGCGTGAGCCCGTGGTGGTGGGAGTCTCGTCCTCGGCGTCTCCGGCCGGCGTGGTGGCTGCCCGGCACGGCGTCCTTGTCCTCTCGCAGGTGATGGTCTGCCGGCTGCTCGTGGCTGCCTCAACGCGACGGCGTCTCGAGGTTTTAGATCTGGCCGTGGCGGGCTCGGCCGATCTGACCCGTTAGCTTCGGCCGGCTGTGAGGTTGGTGCTCGTGCGTGGTGATGGCACCGCCGCCGTGCAAGAGGTGCTTGGCCAGTGGGTTCACATGCTGGCGGCGCTGGGGTTCTCCCATCCTCGTCCGACAGCGTGAGGGTGCGGAGGTAGGGTTGCTCCGGGAGAAAGCCGACGGCGCGGTGTCTGCGGATGTCGCTCTCCTCCTGGGGCCGTTGTGAAGTTCTCCGACCTTCTCCGCTCTTGGGTCACTTTCTTCGGGTGAAAGCCCAGGACCTGCGGTGCAGGACTAGACGATTGCGTGACGTCGCTTCCCCTCTTGAGGGCGTCGTCTTGAAGATCGTGATTCCATGCGTGCTTTCCCAGAGCTGGACTTGTACGACATCGCGGTAGGTGGCCGGCGATGCGCCCAGAGGTGGAGCGGTGTTTCCTCCTCCGTATCGAAGACGACGGATCTCGGAGGCATGGCACAGCGGAGACTCGGCGCCCGATGCGTGTAGATGGACTCGCGCAGGAGGAGGTGGCTGTCTGGCGTCATGGTGGCGTCGATGGCAGAGTGGCCTGACAAGGTAGAAGCATCAATATCTGCTCTAAAGACGGACCTGTGGAAGATGGCGGCGACGACACATGTGAGTGCGTCAGACCGGTTTGTGCCCCAGACCCGGTATGTGGCTCGGCTGGGGCTTCCAGCTTTTGATGATAGGTTTAGGTGAGTGGTCTGGGTATTTGGCCTAGCTAGCATCCCTTCATCATATGGATAGGAGTAGTGGCATATTGTAGCGACCAGACCTCAAATAGTCTGATCTCTGTGCATTAGTGTCATCCCTGGATCGGTAATGCTGACACGCACAGTACTTGAGGATTTATAACAGAGTAGCAATCACACACTTATTACATCGAATGTCTCAAAAGAGAACTTATTACAATAAATATGGCTTAAGGCCATCTAATACGATAACAGTGGAAGACTTGGAAGATAAAGTGAGTCCATCAACTCCAACGGCATCACTGAGTGAAAGACCACGACCTAAGGCTCCTTACTCGTCGTCTGAAAAGTCTGCAACATGATACGTTGCAGTCTGAAACGGGTCAGCACATGGGATATGCTGACAATGTAACACAAGAGAGTAATGAACAGAATAATGCTATCACTACATGCATATATGGCTGGTGGAGGCTGTAGGGTTAATGTTTTGTGAAAAGCCAATTTTTCCCTACTGCAAAGGAATATATTTTACTTAACTACAAAGTTGGTTAAAAAATATTTAGAAGGTAAACCCCCTCTCAATCCCAATTAAAAGTAATTAATAACCCAACAAAATTAATTTAGAGTGATGAGATCCACATGATAATCCAAGAACTAGATACTCAAGATGTCCATAACCGGGGACACGGCTAACCATGATTAGTTTGTACACTCTGCAGAGGTTTGTGCACTTTTCCCCACAAGACTCGATCTCCTCCGTTGGATTTCTCGCACTACATGATGTTTGAGAAACAGATGACCGAGACACAGTCTTTCTGAAGAGGTCCCCTTAACCGATAGATAGGCCGGTACACCTACAATCCCTTACATCTGCTAGCCCATCATGGAAAGGTTTCCCACAAATTACTCAACTATGCCAGAGCCCATATTGGCATGTGGCTGCACATGGAAGTTTCCAGCATGAAAAATCTTATGATCCCTTTGAGCCTGGGTGGCAGTCCATAGGAGAATCACACGGTACCTCGGGATTTCCAAAAATGCAGGCAATCACTGGGTTCCCTAGGTGCCTCAATCCACCCAGATGTGTATTAAAGTTACCACCTTAAGTTAACCATTAATTAACAACTCACATCTGTCATGGACACTCTCAAACCCATTCCACGTCTACGAGCATAGCATGTCAATATAAGCATAACGTTGAAGTAACTCCCAAGGGTTTGATAATAAACAGGTGAATAGGTTCTACCTCATCTACTTCCCAACCCACAATTTATTCAAATCCTAACCATGCAAGTGTTAGAGGGTTGAAACTAATGCATAAAAACTGGGTATGAAAGGGATATGATCAAAGTGTTACTTGCCTTGCTGATGATCCGTGAAACCTAGGGACTCATAGTAGCACGCTTCACACTCCGGGTACTCTATCGCAAAAAACAAGCATACAATAAGAAATCAAGCAAGGGCATGGGTAAAACTCAAATAAGAGATCTAATCAGAAGGTTCAACTTAAGAACTCCGGTTTGCAAAAAGAATCAAATCAAACGAAGCAACAAAACTCAAACGGCGAAAGAAACAAGCTTCGTTTACTAATCTGGACTAAAGTCAAATTTTACAGTAGCAAAAACTTGTTTAGGTTGGTTAAACAGAAAAAGGGTTTCGAGACGAAACTCTAGCTGCTTGAATCGCCTGATTCCGATAAACGAGCGAAAAGTTATACTAAAACAAAAATCGGATTAGAAATCGCGATCGAAAATAATCGCGGAAAATCCGAGAAAAATAAAAACTGACGAACAGGCTAACGAATGAACGTTCGCTATCTGTGGCTAAACGGTGAAAATCGTTCGTTAAAAGGAACGTCTGGACGAACGTCCGCTAAATAACTAAACCGAAAAAACCAATCTAAAAATAAAAAAGAGAATCTAGGGTTTTCGAAAAAAACGGTCAGTTTTCTCGCGAAAACCGAGGCGGCGGCAGCGGTGACTACCTCCGGTGAAGTCCGGCGAGACGGTGGCGGCGGCGGGTGGCGGCTCCGGCG